AAACTGTATTTTCCAACAATTTTTTTTAAAAAATCATTGATTAGTCTACTATGTCAACTTTCTGATGGCAAAATAAAGAAAAAACTTACAGATATTAAGATACTGAATTATACTCTTAAGATTTAATTATACCAATTTATTAACAATCACATTAATACATTTTATACTCAAAGTCACGTTTAAAAGTAAACCCATTGAAATCTCATTGAAGCAAACAAGATAAAGCTTGCCCAGGTTAGCTTGATCTGTCTCATCTTGGAAGCTAAGCAGAGACGACCCTGGTTAGTACTTGGATGGGAAACCACCAAAGAGATCCAGGGTTGCTACACGAGGCAGGCAATGGCAAACCACCTCTGTTTGTCTCTTGCCTTGAAAACCCTACAGGGTCGCCATAAGTTGGCTGCTGTGACTTGACAGCACTCTCACCACCACCACCACCAGAATGATGGCACATGAAAATATTCATAATGAACCTAGTCGATATGTGACAGGCTATCTTCAAACTCACTTCAGTAATGAATTTGATGATCAACTTACCACAGGTATGGCCAAGTCAATCATAAGGGAGGGGCTGCAGCTCAGTGGAAGAGCCTCTACTTTGCATGCAGAAGGTACCAGGTTCAATTCCTGGCATCTTCAGTTAAAAAGACCAGGTAGTAGATGATGTGAACTACCTCTACCTGAGACCACGGAGAGCCACTGGCAGTCTAAACAGACCACACTGACCTTGATGGACCAATGGTCTGATTCAGTATAAGCAGCTTCATATATTTATATTGCCCTTCATATAGTTAAATATTTATATTGCCCTAGTAGTACAGTGTCAAATTACTACATAATCACTTATGGAAATGTCCAATATTTTTAAATGTTGCATTTTATCTTGAGGTTTCTTTTCAGATACAGATGCAGTATTCTGCACATACTTTTCCTGGATAACCACCACCTGCTAAAAGAGACATCTGACGATCCACCTATTAGTAACTCTGAGAAATACTACCATTATGAATGGTCTTCTTGTAAAGCTTTCTAACAACTCATCCATAAAATATTATTTTGTACTGATATTTGGCACACCAAGTTATGAACACACAGAGGAAAAACAATGTTTAAATTACAGGATACAAACAAATGTTCAAAGTTTGATTTTGTGTTTTGCATGTAGGTCATACAGCCTAACAGTTTCATTTTTCTAAATGCAATTTTACAGTTTATTCATCCAGAAACTAAACCAAGCATGTTTAGTATTTTTATGAAGGTGGGAGTGTAAAATGGCACTATAACTGTGTAAAAGTATTTACTGGGCATGCATTTAGTTTTGTTGAACCAGAGTATAAAAATGAAGAATGTGAAGAAGTCTGAAATACACCACTTTGAAGATACAAACAATGCTCTTAATATCCAACTTTGTATCAATCAATAAGATATCTCAGTGTAACTTAACCTCTCACTTTTACTTTAGGCATTATTCTGATAACTTTAGGAATTTCGTATTTCAAAGTCAGCAAGCTCTACAATAAAGGTATTCAGAAAAAAAAAGTCTTCTTCAGCTAGGTTAGCAGAATTTTGTATGTGAAGGAGTGCAAACGTACAAGACTCCATAGGACCACTTCTTGAAATGGAGTCCAGTCCTCTCAGCCAGCAGACCTATTATATAACCTGTCACTGAAAGCAAATCCAGTATTCTTTGTGATGTTTCTTTGTGACCCTGCATGAAACCTTACTGTGCAAATTTTGCAGGGATACCCAACCAAAATGATAGAGTCCTGTGTTACTTTAAAGATGAAAAAATTATTCCAGCATAATCCAAAATCTATTTTATCAAATGCATCCCCTCAGCAGGCAGAAGTATAGCCATGTAAGGATACAAGTAGAACAAAGGCGTGTGTATGTTTGGGGTGTGTGTGTTATTACAAAGAAAGGTCAGATTATCCAACATTCCAAGAAGTAAGCATGGTAATCTAATTGCAGACCATAGATGAAAACAAGATCCAGTCAAAAGAGTGGACAGGGACCACTCCACGAGCTGATGAATTTTTAAGGAGCGTTAACTATTTTTTCTGTTACTTTGTGGCTGGTGATTGGTAAAATTTTATTTGCTCCTGCTCCTGGATCCCAAGGCTAAAACTTGCGTCTCATCCTCAGACAAACATTACCACTAACACACAGCTCCTCTGACCCCAGGCTTTATGTCAAATTTCCCTACTCTAGTTAGACTGACCTAACAGTAGTAAAGTAATGCTTAAAGTGTGCAATTCTGACTGAGCTTTCTCCCCTAGCAACTATAAAGCCCTTAAACATTCCATACTATAGCAACCGCCTCTCTCCTCCAACCTCTGGAAATATAAAAGAGAGCTGCTTTCTTGGGAGGATGGAAGCAAGTGCCTGACCAAGGAGAAACTGTTGCCATCAAGAGTGGAACTGTCTGTCCCCTCCTCATACATTAGTTTGTTAATGTTAAATCTGTGTTAACTTAGGTTTAAATATTTTTGTTTGTTGCTACTTGTATGTGTGGGGCAGTGTTCCCTCTAAGCTGAGTTAGTGTGAGTTAGCTCACAGTTTTTTAGCCTCCGGCTCACACATATTCGTCTTCGCTCAGGAAGGATAGCTCCAGAGCAAACTAATTTATGCCATAGCCAAATCACCTGCTCACAACTTTAATGCCAGTAGCTCACAAAGTAGATTTTTTTTCTCATAGGAATCTATAGCTTAGAGGGAGCATTGGTGGGGGGGGGGATATTGTAAACTGATGAGTCCACAAGTAAGAATCTTCCTAAGTTAGAAGACAACTCTCACTTAGTGGAAGACAGTCTATAGACCTAACCATATTATCTATTACAGTGAAAAGATGCATTAACTGGTAGTTGGGTGACTTCTGAAAAGAGGCTCTTGTGCCAAAACACTTATCAGGAGTCGAACAAAGGGCTACATGAATTAAGTGAACCAATCTGTGGTGCTATGGTGGGGAGGAGCATCATACCTGCACCTTCTGCTTCCACACACCTTAAATAATATGCATGTGCACAGATACTCTCACAGATACATACATTTACACAATACAGTGTAAAAACTTTTAGTACTTTTCCACAAAACAGATGGGAATCCCCCATGTTTTAAAAGGCTGGGGTTGATGAGAAAGATGAAGTGAGCACAAAATAATAAGGTCATAAAATCTGAATTTGTAAATATTGGGAATTCACTGATATGGACAATTCTGAATATATTTCAATCTTATAATTCCAAACATTTTAAGTAATTGCAGATATTCTAATTTTGAATATTCAGAATACCATTGACTCTTATAGAAAACATGCTGTGTTGCCAGAAAAATTGAAGTAAAACATTCTCCAGGTAGCCCGGAAGAAAGGGTAGTAGGAGCAGGGACCTAAGTTTTTCCTGATTGTTGTTGCGAAAAGTTTGCCACAGAAGGGAAGACTGGGGTGAGAGAAAAGCCTGTGGGTGATTTCGCACTAGAGCTGCCTCGCGGCGCAGCCGCCATTTGCTCCGCGGCTTCGCCCGATTTCCTCCGCAGTTTCGTGATCCTCAAAAACCAGGATCACGAAACTGCAGAGGAAATTGGGCGAAGCTGCAAGTCAAAATGCAGCCCCGCAGCTTCGGGTGTGAAATTGACATGTTTGTGCCGGGCAAACAGCGGCTATGCCGCGAGGCAGCTCTAGTGCGAAATCGCCCTGTGACTGAAGTCCATCTGTTCTTATGGAATCCCAAAATAGAAAACACTTTCTGTATGTGTGAGAGATTTTCTGGTGGGTTTTTTTTGGGGGGGGGGTTCCTGTATTCTACTGCAAGATTCGGTTAGGGGATCATGTCCTGTCCACCAATCAGGTGTTCTCCCAGGAAAGGGACACAGTTAGTCCACACTGCATATTCCTGAAAACTGGGTTAGTGGAAAAACTGATTTTTCTTAAGAACAGGCTTCTCTGAGGTGCCCTCTGGAAATGACCATCCCCCCTATGCTTCACCCAACTGTCACCTCCCTTTCCAACTGCCACTTCAGAACTTTGCCCACACATTCCAGGCACTGCTACCTGGCAAATGTGGCTGTTGCTATGGTCTTCTCACACCTGCTCAACATTCTATGGTTGGTGCAGGCACTGGAAAAAGGCCATAGTGCACAGGGAAATCTTTTAAAAAGCAATTTGCCTTGTTTGTAACTGGGAAATTATTGTTTCCTACTGACTTTAGTAGTATTCCGGATACTCAGAAATTCTGAATCTGAAGGGTCACAATTCCAAACTTGATTTTTTGTGTGGGAGTTAATGCACTATACCTGATAAGTATTCCAAATCTAATCCAACTTTCCTCATACTTATTTATATTTTAAAAAGTATTTACATGCCACACTTCCAATCAGGCAGAACCCTCTAATTGCTGTTCTCTGTTGTCCACATGTGGATTGACCAAGTTCGGAAGTGGGACAAAATTCAACAGATCTTAAGGTACACCTAGATTAAACACCTTTGTGTCTTCTGAAGGTACTAAAAATTTATTTTACTCTCTGTAAAAATTTTGGTTGCTGACATAATATACACTAATGTTGACACATCTATAAAACATAATGTCTATGATAAACACATGTACAATGATTAGGCAAACACTGTAGTAAATAAAGTCTCACAAAACCTCTTTCAGTTTGTATTGTGTTGTATTGAGAGTCATTTTACTGTCATCTAATTTAAGAAAGCCTTTCCAGAAAAGGAAAGAGTTACAGAAGCACCATCAGCAGCCTGACCTCTTAGAAATGAGTTTAAAATATCCCTTCCCCAAACACAGCTGCTTCAATTGAGCAAAAGGTATACAATGGATTATTAGACATGCAGCTCCATTCTTATACAGGGAATTCCTTAAATTCATGTAGTCAACTGACTTTGTGTATATGATGCTAGCAGAATGATGCATATTGGAGTAGCACAACAAAGTAGGACTGCCTTTTATTATGCAAATTTCCAAACTCACGAGGTAATTACAGTGTTTTAACATACCTTTCTCTTGATCACTAAGTTTTTCCATTGCATAGTCCAGATCAAAAATGTACCGGTAAAAGCACAGCTGGGTGTATAGGGCCTTGTCAGAATACTGAAATGTAAAAGAACAAATGGAACACAGTTGAGAAAAAGCACATACCAAAAAAGCATGTGAAGTTGCACATTTCCTGTGCTACTTACTCGATTTTAAATTGTTAATTTTTAATTTTATAAAATGTCTTCTGGTGTACATTCTTCATATGGATATATCCTTTGATTCAGTTCAAGATTATTAAGGTACAAAAACAATTAATAGCAGTTCAGTAAACTAAACATAAAAATGTCCACATAAAAATTCTGTATTTTTATTCTTAAATCCAAACACAATTTAAAATGGCTTTAAGGGTAAATCTGCCTAGTTCCTCTAATGTATTATCATGGGTTAGATCTAAACCACCATAAATGAAGCTTCTTTTCCAAAACACATTTTTCCCAATATCACTTTACTGCTATAACCACCAAAGCTGCTTCTGAGGGACACAGGAGCCTCATGAATGGCATGGCATTTTCTCCAGTGACTCCAATGCTTGCCATAATGGCAACTCAAGATGTTGCTACTACCACCACCCTGCTCAGTAGTTGGAGAAGACAACTCATGGTACCTTTTCCTGTAGCTCTCTTTTTAAAAGCTGTGCATGCTCTATAGGGCTTCCTGAATTCTCTTGAGATTATGTTCCTTACAGCCATCATGGTTGCCCTGGCAACCTGCAACCAGAATGATGCTGTAAGGAACATGGGAAGTAAGTCTCATGCAAGATTGCAGCCCTGATTTAAAGAAATCTCAGGGATCAAGGGGCTTATTTCATCTCCTGAGAAGGGATGGAAGTAGGTGGGTGACAAACAGCTGGCTAATTGGTGGGTAGTAGGATAGGAGCTACTGACCTCAAATCTGCCACCTGAGGCAGCCTCATTATGAAGCCAGCCCTGGCTTCATAGAACATCTTTAAGGGACTAGCCAATTATGGACTTATTCAGAACTTTATAGATGTTTAAATCTGCTACTGGGATACGAATATAAATCACTGATTACATTTAACTCATATGCACGCAATAATATTTTGGATTTTTATAAACAAGCCATAGCTGTGTATCATAGGTTATTCTGTATTTGGAAATTTGCAGTCTCACAATTTGTTCTGCTTTGATGCAGCCTAAAGTGGTTCAAATTAGGTTACTTTACAAAGGCTCAGCCCTGCACCTAGAAAATTTTCAGCTGGGGGGTAGAGGTGGGGGAGCACCATGGTGACATTACTTGTGACATCACCCAGAAATGACCTGCTAATTGGCTGGCAGGCTAGCAGCAGGCTCTCCTTTACCTTCTCTGTTCTCGGAGGAGCCTTCTGCATGCTGACAATGGAGAAGAAGGAAAGCCAAGCAGCCAGGCAGGCAGGGCCATTTAAAAAATCCAATAAGACCAGCAGATTCTCAAGTCTTCTCATGCCTGACCAGCTTGCAAGAAGCCCATCCTTTCAGCTCCTGCAACTAAGGAACAGGCTACTCTTGATGCCCGGAGACCAGCAAGATTCAGAAATGCCCCCATCTTGACTCGTTCGTCAACAGCCTCCTGGAAATTCACCCAGTGATTTCCTCCTGCTGCTCTTGGCTTTTGGGGTGGGCAGACCACTCTGTCTGTGTGTGTGTGTGTGTGTGTGTGTGTGTGTGTGTGTAGAAATGCTGTCCTTCAAGCTCATGGGTAATTAAGTTTCCCTTTGAGGCACCCACTCCCGTTTGTAAACCGATCTCCAAACACATTTGCAAATGTCCTGCAGGGGAGAGGAACTCGAGAAGCGGATACTGGGAACACAAAGGAGCCACGGAGGCAGTTGTGGGAATGAGGAAACACTAAGTGAGGGTAAGATGGCCAATAGCTTCACCCAAGCCAGCAAGGAATTTGCAAATTCCCATGAAAGAAGCAACCCCCACCCCTCAAAGGTGTGTTTCTGATATTGCTCACTAGGCTTAACTCTAGCATAGCTTTCCTTACAGCTGAGGGACTTGCATCATAAAGAAGGGGTACCCAAGAGAATGTGCTGATAGGGTTCAATAAGGGGCACCGCCCTCAACGCCTCAACACTGGCTATGGTCCTACAAAGACTTATCATACTAGTCAGTCAGTCAGTTTTTTATTACAGTCTTCGACCAGTATAGAACAATTTAAAAGACAAATAGAAAAATTCCTGATACTATCCTAACTAGTTATGAGCCAGTAAAAACCTTAGTAACATAAAAGCTTAAAAGTTATATAAAATATAAAGGAAAAAGTAAAACTACTGTTCAAACCTTTTAAACCATTTAAAAAGTCAGTTTAAAACATTTTTTGATAAAAGTAGGGATATTTGCCTGGTTTTTTGCGTTCCTTATATACCTGGCCACAGAACCTAGCCACCTGTCTTGATGTATGATGATTCCTATCCGACAACAGGTATTCTAATTTAATTTTGTTTGACCTCCCTGGGAACCTTTCCAGCAGTGGGGTGATGATTTCCTTTCGGCTTGCTGTATGGAAAGAGCAATTAAAAAAGATATGCTACAGAGAGTCTATTTCAGTCCGGGAACAAGTGCAGAGCCTGAGCGCGTAAGGGATCCCTTTGTACCAACCCTCTATTACTGCAGTCGGCAAGGCTCCTTGCTAGGGTGAAAGCCCTTCTGGTATTATAAGATTCAAGAAAATATAAATAGGCCGCAGGAGCAACCACATATCTACCGCTTGCTGAAAAAAAGTAATTTGGTGAACTGCAAATGTCTGCTTGCCTCTCCAAATCTAGCACTCTCTGATTAATAATCAATTTTGCCCAATCTATGCCAAGATTTAGGAGGACTTGGGGGGGGGGAACCAGCTTTTCAATGGACATTTGGACTGCTTCTAGCCAACTGCTCTGAAATTGGTCATACAGAATGAGAGGGAATCCCTTTGGATTAATACTGTCCGTTATCCATTTATATATGGAAAGAATGCAAATCCTAGCTTCTACCCAGGTCATTCCTGTTTCCAAGCGAACCCAGGAGTTTGATACACACTTGGCTACCTGAATTAGCACGCTAAGGAATTTTGATTGAACTCTCTCGAGTGGAGAGAGGGAGGAAGCTGAAGACTCCCAAATATTTAAAGCTGGATACTTGTTCCAGCTTATGTCCTTGAAGCTCTCAATACCTGAACCTTGTATTTTTCCCAAAGGCCAGGACCTTTGTTTTCTGACGGTTAATTTTAAGATGTTCAATTTCACAATAAAGGGAGAATTTTTTCAGAGCCTGTTTCAGCCCTATAGGAGTTCTGGAGAGAATAATGGCATCATCCGTGTACAGTAGCACTTGGATGTATCGATCTGCTAGTTTTGGGGAATGAAAACTGGTATCATTCATGAAACTTACCAGGTTATTAATGTAAAGGAGAAACAATGTGGGGGCTAAAAGACAGCCCTACCTGACTCCCCTAACGTTGGGATGGGGTCTGACAGGTGCCCTAACCGACTACACCTCACTCTAAGAGCAGTTTGCTCGTGAATTGCCCGGATAAAATACAGCAAACGCTTGTTAATTGTTGAAGCCTGTAATCTTTCCCAAAGCCTAGCTCTGGAAACTCTGTTGAAGGCCGCTTTCAGGTCAACAAATGCTGTGTAGAGTGACGCTTGTCCTCTAGCTCTGTATTTTTCTATAAGATGTTGCAGCGTCAGAATATGGTCAAGCATGGACCTCCCAGTCTAAAGGCGAGCTTCCTCTTCCACTAAAATCTCCTCCTGCTCAAGCCAATCTATAAATTTAGTAAGCAAGTGTTTGGCGTATAACTTGCCTATGATACTTAGAAGGCTGATTGGTCTGTAATTTGATGGGTCCTCATTTTTGCCCTTCTTATAAAAGGGGACCACAATGGCCATACCCCAATCTTTGGGGATGAGCCCTGTTTCATCAATAAAGGTGAACAGAGAGGCCAATAGAGTTCCCCTTGAGTAATTCAGGAGGAATTCCATCTAAGCCGGGTGCTTTAGCATTCTTCTGATATCCTATGTATGCTTTTATCTCCTGAGCAGTTACAGGAGCCCATTTTTCCAATTCTCCTATTGGATGTTCAGAAAGAGGTTGTATGGATTTCTCATATGGGGGCTCCTCATAAATTTTTTGGAAGTATGACAACCAAGTATCTGGAGAAATACAGGTGGATAATGATGGGGCCCCTGTTGATGCTCTATTTGACACCCGTCTCCATAACAGAGATGTATTTTTATTTCTAGCTGCTTCTATTAATTTAGCCCACATTTCCTTGGTGTATTCTTTTTTACGTTTGGCCACCAGAAGTTTGTATTCCTTCTTTTGTGCCGAGAGGAGATTGTAAGCTTCCTGCCTGTTCTTTCCCTCAGTCCTCTTAGCTGAGTTGTATGCCTTAATTAAATCATTTTTGCTTTGTAGAAATGTTAATCGTTCCAAGGTTTAGATGGTATCTTTGCACCCCCCCACTTGCCTTCCTTCTGGGAAGCTTATTAAAAGTGGCCTCAATGTTTGAATTAACTCCTCATACCTTTCTAGTGCATATTCTGGATTTATGGGGGAGTTGAAAGCATGGCAGTACAACTGTAAAATTTCAGTTGTTAGCAGGGGTCATTTCATAGAAAAAGAGGTGCAGGAGCTCATTAGCATAACTTATTTGCATATGCCACACCCCCTAACATCACCAGAAGTATATCAGAAGGCAAGAAAGAAAGAAGAAAGAAGGAAAGAGATGGGGAGGAGGGGAGGAAGGAAGGAAGGCAAATAGGGAGAGAGGAGTGGTAGGACTGGTGGGAAGGAGGGGAGAGCTGGAAATAAGCCAAACTGAAAGAAGGCAACACTGAACCTATGAGAAAATATGGTGTCTGGCATTTTAGGAAATGAGTTCCTTTGCCAACAAGACTTTCCCCAATACAAAGCAGCACCAATATAAAACCACACACTGTTGTGATAAAATGTGAAGGCTCTCTGGGCCAGGCCTGATCAGGCTGCCGTGCTTAGTTTGTCAGTATCTCTCTTTGCAGTAACCTCCTCCTCCTCCACTCCCTGCCCGCCCGCTTACTCACTGGCAGC